ATCTGTAAGACAAAATAAAGAAGTATGTGTGACAAAATATAGAAGTTTGTGTGACAAAGTATATAAGTCTATGTGACAAAATACTGAAGTCTGTGTAACAGAATGCAGAAGTCTGTGTGACAGAATGCAGAAGTCTGTGTGAAAGAATGCAGAAGTATGTGTGGCAGAATGCAGAAGTCTGTGTGACAAAATTCAGAAGTCTGTGTGAAAAGAAACAGACGCCTGTGTGACGAAAAACAGAAGTCTGTGTGACAAAATACAGGAGTCTGTGTGACAGAATGCAGAAGTCTGTGTGACAAAATACAGAGGTCTGTGTGACAAAATACAGAAGTCTGTGTGACAAAATACAGAGGTATGTGTGACATGAAACAGAAGTCTCTGTTGAGAGAAACAGAAGTCTCTGTGGCGAGAAACAGAAGTGTCTGTGTTAGAATAAAGCAGTTTGTGTGACAAAATAAAGAGGTCTGTGTGACAAGAAACAGAGGTCTGTGTGACGAAAACCAGAAGTCTGTGTGACGAAAAACAGACGTCTATGGAACAGAATGCAAAAGTCTGTGTGATAGAATGCAGACGTCTGTGTGACAGAATGAAGAAGTCTGTGTGACAAAATACAGAGGTCTGTGTGACAAAATACAGAGGTCTGTGTGACAGTATGCAGAAGTCTGTGTGACAAAATACAGAGGTCTGTGTGACATGAAACAGAAGTCTCTGTGGCGAGAAACAGAAGTCTCTGTGGTGAGAAACAGAAGTCTCTGTGGCGAGAAACAGAAGTCTCTGTGTTAGAATACAGAAGTCCGTGTGACAAAATACAGAGGTCTGTGTGACAAGAAACAGAGGTCTGTGTGACGAAAACCAGAAGTCTTTGTGACGAAAACCAGAAGTCTATGTGAAAATTTACAGAAGTCTGTGTGACAGAATGCAGAAGTCTGTGTGACAAAAAACAGAGGTTTGTGTGACGAAAAACAGAAGTATGTGTGACAAAATACAGATGTTTGTGTGATAGAATGCAGAAGTCTGTGTGTTAGAATGCAGACGTCTGTGTGACAGAATGCAGAAGTATGTGTGACAAAATACAGATGTTTGTGTGATAGAATGCAGAAGTCTGTGTGTTAGAATGCAGACGTCTGTGTGACAGAATGCAGAAGTATGTGTGACAAAATACAGATGTTTGTGTGATAGAATGCAGAAGTCTGTGTGTTAGAATGCAGACGTCTGTGTGACAGAATGCAGAAGTATGTGTGACAAAATACAGATGTTTGTGTGATAGAATGCAGAAGTCTGTGTGTTAGAATGCAGACGTCTGTGTGACAGAATGCAGAAGTATGTGTGACAAAATACAGATGTTTGTGTGATAGAATGCAGAAGTCTGTGTGTTAGAATGCAGACGTCTGTGTGACAGAATGCAGAAGTATGTGTGACAAAATACAGATGTTTGTGTGATAGAATGCAGAAGTCTGTGTGTTAGAATGCAGACGTCTGTGTGACAGAATGCAGAAGTATGTGTGACAAAATACAGATGTCTGTGTGACAGAATGCAGAAGTCTGTGTGACAAAAAACAGAAGTCTGTGTGACAGAATGCAGATGTCTGTGTGACAGAATGCAGAAGTCTGTGTGACAGAATGCAGAATTCTGTGTGACAGAAAACAGAAGTATGTGTGACAAGAAACAGAGGCCTGTGTGACGAAAAACAGAGGTCTGTGTGACAGAATACAAAAGTCTGTGTGACAAAATACAGAGGTATGTGTGACATGAAACAGAAGTCTGTGTGACGAAAAACAGAAGTCTGTGTGTTAAAATATAGAAGTTTGTGTGACAATATACAGAGGTCTGTGTGACAAGAAACAGGATTCTGTGTGACGAAAACCAGAAGTCTGTGTAACAGAAAACAGAAGTCTGTGTGACAGAAAACAGAAGTATGTGTGACAAGAAACAGAGGCCTGTGTGACGAAAAACAGAGGTCTGTGTGACAGAATACAAAAGTCTGTGTGACAAAATACAGAGGTATGTGTGACATGAAACAGAAGTCTGTGTGACGAAAAACAGAAGTCTGTGTGTTAAAATATAGAAGTTTGTGTGACAATATACAGAGGTCTGTGTGACAAGAAACAGGATTCTGTGTGACGAAAACCAGAAGTCTGTGTAACAGAAAACAGAAGTCTGTGTGACAGAAAACAGAAGTATGTGTGACAAGAAACAGAGGCCTGTGTGACGAAAAACGGAGGTCTGTGTGACAGAATACAAAAGTCTGTGTGACAAAATACAGAAGTCTATGTGATAAATTACAGAGGTCTGTGTGACAGAATGCAGAAGTCTGTGTGAAAAAATACAGAAGTCTGTGAAAATTTACAGAAGTCTGTGTGACAAAATACAGAGGTCTGTGTGACAGAATGCAGGGGTCTGTGTGACAGAATGCAGAAGTATGTGTGACAAAATACAGAAGTCAGTGTGTTAGAATGCAGACGTCTGTGTGACAGAATGCAGAAGTATGTGTGACAAAATACAGAGGTCTGTGCGACAGAATGCAGAAGTCTGTGTGATAGAATGCAGACGTCTGTGTGATAGAATGCAGAGGTATGTGTGGCAAAATATAGAGGTATGTGTGACAAGAAACAGAAGTCTGTGTGACGAAAAAGGGGGTTTGTGAAGAAATACATAAGTTGGCGGCCAAGCAGAAGTCTGTGACTATAAGCGCCGGTGTTAGCTGAGTGATAATGGGACAGTAGAATGGCTGACATAAAATTACATTTTTGACCTAACAATTACTTGTGAAAAATGTCAATATCAAATAGTTTGTACAAAATATTTCATACAGTACTATCGATAATACCTATTTTTCTAATTGCAGGAAAACTAACCGTTTTCATAAAGATGAAGTGGTACCATTTTGACAAAATCCGACACACTGTAATAATGATCAAAAGTGAAATTTGGCAAAATTTGTATAGACCAATCCGAACGTTTCTTTCTATTACCTTCAAGCAGTTGTCAAGCGTTTCGATAGAAAACATTTTATACAGTCTAAATAATGTACCTTTTTTATTGTGTACTTAATTTCATTATTGTTAACGGTTTCGTAGCAAGTGAAACACGTTTTGAAGAAGTTGTAAATAAACAAATTCACGATATCAAAAAGCAAATAAAACAAAGAGTCAGGCGTTCATTAGGAATAAAAAGTCATACAAGATACAAGATACAAGAAACTTTATTTAACGTCGTATACAGGTAAACAAGGAACATTAGCTCTTGAGAGCTATTATTGCGACAAACATATGTAAAACTAACAATAACATATTATATTACAAGTAAAGGGAGATAATCACATATATTAATAATAAAACAGTAATAATCATCACAGAAAAAGAAAGTATACATATCCCAGGTTTCTAAGTGATTGGGAGTCCCCTACCTACAAAGGCCCCCGGGATATATATATAAAAATGGTGTTGATATATGAAAAGCATTAAATGTGATCACAGATAAGTAGTATTCAGAATAGGTTAATAAAAGACATAGTTAATAGTGAATGAATAGTGAATGAATAGTGAATGAATACTTGTATATCACACAAGAATTACTTAGGACTTAGGATTAAAACACTATGAAGTGGAATATACATACAATGCTAATATAGCAAAGAATAAAAATTGACAGAATATACACTAGTATAGTGTGAATTAAAAATGATACTGAAATCAATTCACAAAATTTATCAAGTTTTGTAAAAAAAAATATTTTGGAAAATATGGAATTAAGATACAAATAAGATGCAGCAAAAATATAGAATAGAATTAAAACATATAAGAATTGAGATAAGACAATAAAAGTATCACACAATCCAAAATGTCTGGTGGCAGAGGTAACCAGGGCACAGTATGAAGTATCACTCTTTGCAGATATTGCAAAGGCAGATGGGGCCATCCCAGGAATGGACCAGCCTCCTGAATTCGTTGAGGTTTTCAACTTTTCTGAAGTCATTTGGGAGACTGTTCCACACCCGGGCGGCCTCAAAAGCAAACGATTTATGTCCATACTTCACAGTGTTGACCATGGGCACCTCTGCAGTATTTTCTTTCCTGAAGTCATAATTAGACGTCTTAATATTTACATGATTATGAATATACTCAAAAGAAACTTTGTTTATAATTTTAAAAACCTCACAACCCATTTCCTTCAGACGCCTTAAATGAAGACTGTAGCTGTTGGTAACACTGAGTAAGTGTCTGAAGGATGAGTTGTGATCATTATGTATAAACCTTAAAGCTCTTTCTTGTATCTTTTCTAGCTTTCTGACACTCTTCATGGAACAAGAGTGCCAGACTAAAGGACAGTAGTTAAAATTTGAAACAATAAAAGAACTATAAATTACAAGTCTACCTTGTTTGGTTAAAATCTCCAAATTCACTTTAAAATGGACAATTGCCTTGAGGCTTTCCTACAAATTTCAGAGATATGAGCTTCAAAGTTTAAAAATGAATCAAAGTTCACACCTAAATGTTTGACAACACTGTCAGGAACAATATCTATTTCGCCAATAAAAAAAGACTGTATAGCATCTACCGAACGTTTCCCTATACAAATGGCCTGGAATTTATCAGGGTTTGCTTTCATCTGGTTTAATTTAAACCAGTCTATTAAATTTTGACAGTCATTTTTAATATTATGTTTTAAAGCATCTGGGTCTTTATTTGATTCACTGGCAGTGTTGTCGTCTGCATAATTATATAATTTACAGGATGTCACATATAAATACATATCATTTACAAATACATTAAAAAGCAAAGGTCCTAAAATAGAACCCTTTGGTACCCCTTCAGCACTTCCAGCCAGTCACCGCATTTGGAGCAAATTTTACCTGCTGCTTCCTGCTGCTCAGATAGCTGGACACCAGGTTAACTCAGGCTTTACTCAGACCATAGGCATCCAGCTTCCCGACTAACAAGTTATGAGAAAGACAGTCAAAAGCCTTGGATAGGTCCATCAGTATGGCAGCGACATACTCATGGTTGTCCAGGGCTCTACGCCAATCCTCAACAAGTCGCAACAGGGTGGATTGACACCCAAATACTGGTCGGAAGGTTGCAAGGAAAGGATGAAAAACATTACTAAAAAAGGCAGTCAGTTTATTACACATGGTTCTTTCAAAACATTTCGATATACAAGGTAAAATGATGACTGTTCGGTAGTTTTGTTTATCTAAAATATTTTTTCTTAATAACAGGAACTATCTGTGCCTCCTTGAGTCTGCAAGGGAACTCTGATCTATCAAAACAGTGGTTAATCATGTCGCTCAGAGGCACACTGATGTCAGTACAACAGGCTCTAAGGAGTTTTGAAGATATGCCATCGATACCAGTGGCCTTCTTCGCCTTCACCTTCGAGATAGCCTTTTCAACCACGAAAGGAGAGACATGACTAAAACAAAACTTTGACTGATCATTATTTTGTGCCCTTATCTCTTTTAAAATAGTTACATCAGAAGAATCTTCTGTACCAAAATCAGAAGCAACATTTACATAAAAATTATTAAAAAATGCTGACCTCCGTTTGACCACTGATAATGGCCTCATCTTCCTTTAAAATTACATTATTGCACTGTGCAGAGCCCTTATTTAATAAAAATGGTTTAATGGTGGGCCAGAAATCTTTTGATTTGGGACCACCTGCACAGCGTTCGAAGAAATAGTTGCGCATAGATTGTTTACGAAATTTACACACACAATTTCTATGGTTACGATATGCCTCCCAATAAGAGGCTGATTTGCAACCAGTATATTTGTTAAAAATAAATAGTTTCTTATACACAGCTTTACGCAAGTTTGATTTAAAAATGGACATCTTTTCTGTTTTACTACTATTTCTTTTTCAGGAGCATGCTTATCAATAATGTCAGTGATAAGTTTTTCATGGGCCCAATAAATATCATCAACATCATCAAAAGCATAAGTTGCCTGGAAAGGGATTTTACTTCAAATCATCACTGAAAGTTTTTTCATCAAAAATTTCAAAACATCTATATTTCGTCTTTTCTTTCATAACTGGTTTACATTTCCCTTTAAAAACAGTCCCAATCATATGATGCCAGTCACTAAGACCACAGTTAAAAGCAAACGTACTAAATAAAAAAGATGTAGTGTTACTTAAAATGATATCAACAGATGAGGGCTGCGAGTTTTTCATAAAACATGTTGGAGATTTAATCGCGTTTTTCATATCAAAGATATCACAAATATTGGATAATATATTGTCATTTACGTTCATGTCAACATTTAAATCTCCAACGAGCAAAGTATTATCATAATGTATGCTGACTCGATCTCGAGTCTGACATAAGTCGTCGTAGACAGAGTTTTTCGTATTTGAGGGGGGNTTGTAAGCTCCTAAAATGGCCCGCTTACGATTGTTAATAGTGACCTCAACTACTACGCTCTCGACTAAAGTTGACTCAAGATCTGGTCTTCTTCTGCAGGGGAGGTGGGAGTTAATAAAACACACGAGACCACCACCATGTCCATTTCTATCTTTCCTAATTATATTTCCCATAAAATGAGTCTCTTCCAAAACTACAATCCTCGCAATTCAAACAGGTATAAGTGTGATTAAAATCATGTTACCAAACTGAAAAGAACATTCAACTCCTGTTTCTCAGCGATCAGGGTACGGTACAACTTTCGGTCAACTTGGATGGAGAAGTAACAGTTTTGAATGCTGCATCGGCCCTAACAGGACTGTACAGAGAACAATAGAACTGGATATATAGATTGAGGGACTCCTCAACAGCTATCTGACTTTGACTATAGCGTTTCGAATTCGGTTAATCGATATTCTTAAAGGAGTAGTACAAGGCCCAATACTTGGAACAATACTTTCTTAATATTCTTATATTTTTATTTCATTTTACGAATGAAGTGAACTAAAGGTTATCACCCTGACCCATGCAGTCATGCGCAATGTTTGGCTGGTTGTAAGTAGAAGCAGTTTCGGATGAATTCCAGGAAAACATGATGTTCATTATTATGTACCAGCGCGTGCTGAAACATGCAGTGTTGGTTGGTTTAGCGAAAACATGGCTGCACTTCCAGCTTGTCACACAACGGGTCTCGGCACGTTGCTGACGTCAACCTCATTAACATTTTAAAAAGGTGGCAGGCTGACTGCGAAAAACGTTGAAACTCTTAAATGGCGTGTGTTTAGAGGAAACGGAGTTCATGTCCGCAGAAGGAGAATACATTTAACGTGCATATGGGAGGTTTTTAAATAAAAAAATATCCATCTAAACATTTTCCCGTAGATAAACTAGACATGTTATTTTTGATGCAAGAAAGTTAGGTGGGTCGACATTTCGACATCAAGAGCTTTCCTCCCTTCTCGTATATATGATCATCGGGGTTGTCATTTTTACCGAAAGTCCATCTGAACCCCTCAAACATGTAAAATTACTCTTAACACCTTAATTTAGGTCCAAATATAGCTGTATTGCTTCATTAAAGATAACAATAATCTTAACCTTTGAACTTTAAAGCAATTCAGCTATTGTAAGGAAAATACCTGTAATTTACAAACAACCTTGACACTTGACCTTTGGAACTGAAAAATAATCATGTACTTTCCAGTGTATGGCTATTAAGTGTTGCATGGAAACTCGAGCTATTAAGAGAAAAAGCAGTTCTCTATGTTTATGTGTTTCCAGTTATATTTTAAATATGTGCACTACAATGTGTATGCAGTAAGTTGTAAAACCATATACCAGGTAATAGTTACTGTTTACTTCTC